CTGGCCAGGAGGCGGTCGTCAGCCTTCTGCAGCCGCTGCCGAGCCTCCTGGACCTGCTCGGCCGCTGCAGCCCGCGCAGCCTCAGCCCGCTCGAAAGTCTCGCGTCTTGCGCCGGTCTCCCTGCCGCCAGCGTGCGCGCTGCAGCTGGGACTGCGGCGCGGGCGCTGGCTTGGCGGGCTCGGCGGCCGGGGAGGGCTGGGGCAGCTTGGCCTGCTGCTGGGTCGTGCGCTCGATGCCGAGCGCGCGCAAGCGCTCGAGAAGCTTGGCGCCGTCTCCAGCGGGGCCCGCCGCCTCGGCACCCGCGGCAGGTTTGGCCTCCTGGCCGCCTGCGGCGGCCGCGCGCCTGCCGCCGCCCTTCCGCGGTGTGGGGGGGGGGGCTCCGCGATGAGGTCGTTTGCCTGGCAGTGCCACGGCGCGGGCGGCGCGCTCGGCCTCCTGGGGCGCGCTGCCGCACAGCCAGAGGCGCAGTGCGAGAGCAAGCGCGGCAGCGGCTGCGGCACGCCCATCTCTTCGCCTCCCCGCACGCGCAGCCCCAGCAGGGCTTGCGCGGGCCGATGGGCGCAGCCTCGGCCGCAGCCGCATGCGAGGGCGTGGTGGCCCCAGGGGGCCGCTGACTGCCGCCGCCGCCGCCGCCGCCACCGCACGCGCGTCCTCTGCTGCTCCAGCCCGGCGGCTGACCGCGTTGGCGGCCATCCGGCATGGCAGACGTGTGCAAGTCGGAAGTGGGGGAGCCCGCGGGCCCAGCAAGCTGGTGAGGTCGCGAACATCTGGCCACAATGTCGAGTAACCAGCGGGGGCCGGGTGGGGCCAGCCGCTCGACCGGACACCCCCCTCGCCCCACTGGTTCTTGAGCCAAAATGGCTACGGAGGAGGAGGAGGAGGATGAGGAGGAGCAGGAGGAGGAGGAGGAGGAGGAGGAGGAGGAGGAGGAGGAGGAGGAGGAGGAGGAGGAGGCAGGAAGCAGGAGGCAGGAGGCAGGAGGCAGGAGGCAGAGAGGAGGAGGAGGAGGAGGAGGAGGAGGAGGAGGAGGAGGAGGAGGCGAAACGCTACAGCCCCCGCAGCTGCAGTATGTCCAGCGTCAAAATGGAGGAGGACGGGAGGAGAGGAGGAGGAGGGGAGGAGGAGGAGGAGGAGGAGGAGGGAGGAGGAGGAGGAGGAGGAGGAGGAGGAGGAGGAGGAGGAGGAGGAGGAGGAGAGGAGGAGGAGGAGGAGGAGGAGGAGGAGGAGGAGGAGGAGGAGGAGGAGGAGGAGGAGGATGAGGAAGGAGGTGGAGGAGGAGGATGAGGAGGAGGAGGAAGGAAGGGAGGGAGGGGAGGGAAGGAGGGAGGGAGGAGGGAGGGGGGGAGGGAGGGAGGGAGGGAGGGAGGGAGGGAGGGAGGGAGGGAGGGAGGGAGGGAGGGAGGGAGGGAGGGAGGGAGGGAGGGAGGGAGGGAGGGAGGGAGGGAGGGAGGGAGGGAGGGAGGGAGGGAGGTGAGGGAGGGAGGAGGAGGAGGAGGAGGAGGAGGGAGGAGGAGGAGGAGGAGGAGGAGGAGGAGGCGGAGGAGGAGGAGGAGGAGGAGGAGGAGGAGGCGCGGTTGGCCCTGCAGCGCCGCAGGGCAGCTGGGCTGGCCTGAGGCCGCGGTGCGGCGGCGACGCTGGGCTGACTACTGGGCGACGGCAGGGGGCGGCCCCGGCCAGGGCGGGCCGGCCCGGCAGGGCGCGCTGGGGGACCGGCGCGCTGGCCGACGGAGGCGGGGCGCGCGGCGGCTGGGCCCTGGCGCGGCTCGAGCCGCTGCTTCTGGAAGCCGGGCGGCCGGGCAGCGCCGCGGCCTGGCGGCAGGAGGGTGGCGGCTGGCGGCAAACAGGCGCCGTGGGCGCGGGCGGCTGGCCCGGGGCGGCGTCTCGGTGCCCCTGCTCATCGTCGCGTTCTCGGCGAAGCTCAGGGGCGGCGGCGTGGGGGCCGCGGGAAAGGGCCCGCGCCGCGCCCCCCCCGAGTGCCCTGCAGGTCCCCTCGGACTCGGGACCTCCAGGGCCCCGCTGCAGGAGGAGGAGGAGGAGGAGGAGGAGGAGGAGGAGGAGGAGGAGGAGGAGGAGGAGGAGGACGAGGAGGAGGAGGCGACGGGCACTTTGGGCGGTGAAGACGGCGCTGCTCGGCCTGGCCGCCGTCGGGGGCCCCTGGCCTCCGAGCCGGCGCCGCGCCGTCTCGCCGGACCCTTGCGGAGGGGGGGCTCCGGTGGGCAGCGCGTGCCGGGCTGCGATCTCGGCATCAGCGTGCGACAGAGGGCCGAACTCAGACCCAGACCCCCTCGAGTAATGAAAAAATCATGACGGGAGGTTTTTCGCCATTTTCGGCCTCTGGGGGCCCTCGCCGGGCCTCGGGAGCGTCAAAAAACCACTCAGGATCACAAACCGGTCCTGGGGAAGGGGTCGAGAACTCTGGGGTCGACGTAATGAAAAAATCATTACGTCGGGGGTCTGGGGAGGGCCGAACTCCTCGAGTCCTCGAGATCCCGGCGACTCAGATTTTCCGAGCCGGGCGTTTTCGCCCAAAGCTCGGGGCCCGGAAGCCCTCACAGATCGAGGCGGCTCGAAGAGTGGTGCAGGAAGATGCGGTTTTGGTCTCGGGTCGTGACTATGGATGTATATTTTTTTTGCGCCGTCGGATCTCAGAAGAGGGCGATGAAGGAGAGGGGGCCTGGACTGCCAGGGGAGCCACAGCATAAGCAAGGCGACGCTGGCCTTTGGGTCCGCACCTGACATCGCAACTGGACCAGTTCGCGCGGCCGTTTCTGCCAGGGGGGGCAGCTGCCGAGCCCGTGTTTTGCCCTGGGTGTGCACCGCACTGGCGGCAGCTCCTCGCCCATCTCCTCTCCACTCGCCCCATGCCTCCCCTCCCCTTTTGTCTTCCCTTGACTTCTTCCCCTCCCCTCCACCCATGCCCCGCCCTTCCATCCATCCCCTCCCCTCTCTCCTCCTCCTCCGCCTTCCTCCTGCTCTTCCTCTCCCTCTCCCTCTCCCTCTCTCTCTCTCTCCCGCCCTTCCTCCCTCCCTTCCTCTCCTCCTCCTCCTCCTCCTCCTCCATCCATTTAATTACCGTATTCATAATTCCCACTTGTCGCGTTTCCAGACGTGTCAGGACGGCAGGCTGGGCGTTTCGTCCGAACCCCCTGACCATTCATGATCCTGCAGCTTGAAGCTTGCGTCGGCGTCGCCCGGACATACTTATACTATGTATGCGTTGCCCCCCCAGGGGCGACGCGCGCACCGAGAAATCTTCTAGTATATGCGGTGTGGTGGGCGTTTTCTGGCCACACCGCTCGGGAAACGACATACTACAAAATGGGTATACTATATGTTCGGGTCGGACGTGCGCCTCCAAGGCGGACATATAGTATTAGTATTTCTCTGTGCGTCCCATTGCAAATGTCTCGAAGATAGAGGGCGGGTGGTTTTCAGCATGTGGCCCTCGCTTCTGCCCCGCGCATATCTGTCGAAACTTGCAGCAGCTTCGAGGATGGAGGCCGGCGCTTCCCTTCCAGAATGTGGCTTTCGCTTCAGCGCCGCGCACACTCGTCTCGAGGGTTCCTAGGGGTGAAGTCTCAGGAATTGTGCTCTGACGTGATTGAGGATTGCCAGGACGCAGCGGTCACGTTGATTCGCGGTGTGGACGTCGCAGGAATGACGTGCCCTGGAACGTTCTAGGATTGTCAGGGCGCAACAGTAGCCTTGCTTAGCGGCGTTGAAGTCCTAGGAACGGTGTTTGGGTTTTTTGCCCGATGGAGTGCGACGACTGTTTTTCAATGGGGCATTTCTGGGACCGCAGAGGGAATTTGGAGGGATGGTTTCTTGTAACATCGTTCATGCGCCTTGCGTTTACATTATTCCTCTTGGGCACAGCCTGCTGCATGACTGAATCAACTGTACCGAAGTCACTTTGGAGTGTTGAACTAGTTAGGCCTGTAGTCTAGACTGCCTCGGGGCTCGATACACCTTAGCACCGAGTTTGAAATCACCCTTCGCGAATGTCTTAAGACACTCGGCAGCCCAGCCCGAGACCTGCAAGAGACAGGGCGAGGCCGGGGTTGAGACCCGCGAGGCAGCAAAACAAGCTCAGCGTTTGCATCTAACCACAAGCAGACCATCGTGCAGCTGGAGCGAGGATAGGGAATGCAACCTCGACCGCGCGTACTGTCCTCCTCCTCCTCCTCCTCCTCCTCCTCCTCCTCCTCCTCCTCCCCCTCTTGTCGGGCCAGAGCGCCCCCTGGCGGAGGGGGGGACCGCTGGGCCTTCGGGGCACAAGCCCCCGCACCTGGGATGGCCCCCGAAGCGGGGCCCCCTTCCCATGGGGCCCCCGGCCACGCAGTCTTCCACGGGAGCCTGGCTTCCCAGCTAGGTGTTCCCCGTGGGAGTCGTGTGCCAGGGGGTCCGTCTTCCCCCCGTCGTATCGTCGCCGTCGCCGTCGCGTCTGTCGTGTCGTGGCGGGCCCCTGGGGTGGGTGGCGGGTGTCTGGTATTGCTCCCTCGGGTGCTTCGGCCGGCAAAACGGGTCGGGGGAGTTAGCTTGCCATTCCCATGTCGCCCGCTTGCGGGAGGCCCGCCCGCGCCGTGAACGCCCCGCGGCCCGCGGCGCGCCGCGGCCGCGGCGGCGCGCGCGGCGCCCGTGGGCATGCTCGCCCGCGCCATGTTCGGCGTCTTGTTCTACCCCTTGCGGGCAAAAAAACTCCTCCTCCTCCTCCTCCTCCTCTTCTTCCTCCTCTTCCTCCTCTTCTTCCTCCTCCTCCTCCTCCTCCTCCTCCTCCTCCTCCTCCTCCTCTTTCCCTCCTGACCTCCCGCTCCCTCCTCGCCTCCCTCCCTCCTCTACTTGCTCCTCTGCCTCCTCGTGCTTTTTCGCCGCCGCCCCCTTCCGTCCGCCGCTGCCCTCCCGCGCGTGGGAAGCAGGCGCGCGGCAGAACCCCGCGCGCGACGCCGCCGCGCCCCCGACGCCTCCCCCTCCGCCCCCCCCTCCCCGACGCTCGCGCGCGCAGCAAAAGGCCGCAGGACCCCCTCCCCGCGCTGAGCCCGCCCCCTTGGGCGCGCCGCCGAACGCAGCCCGGGGGCCCGCGCCCATGGTGAGGGCCAAGGTCGCCTGCGCTCCTGGCTGTCTTCTTCGCCCCCCCCCCCCCCCCCCCCCCTCCGACTCCGCCATCCTTCTCTCGGGGGGGGGGACCACCCAGACCGGACAACTGGCGTTTACTAAGCGGCCCTGGACGTTTACTAAGCAGCCCTGCCCTGTCAGATTCCTGATTTGGGCGCGTCTACTAAACTATTTTGCGTGTCGGGGTGCTTATTATGGAAGTGTATTTTTGAGATTTATTTTCCGTCTTTCTCCATGTACATATGTTTCTTCCATCTCCACCTCCTCCTGTTGCAGAAACTTGACCCGCAAGGGCAGGGTGCTCATGTGGTTGCCTGTCTTCCTCATCTTCGCACTTGCTCATCCACGTCGTCCGTGTTCCTCCGCGTTGCTCCTCACTTGATATCATCGCTCAATCTCCTCTCTTCTCTTTGCTCGTTCTTCTCAACAGCGTGGCCAGAGGACCTCTTCGCTTAGCTCGAGTGGACTCCCTTGGGGTTCATTGTCCGTCCCTGTGTCTGCGCGAATATGACCGTCGAACCTCATAACGTCTGGCCTTTGGGGCTCAATTCGCGAGCTGATTGGCTGGTGCTCCCACAGTCTATTCGTGCGCTTCAGACGGTCAGGCACCTCTGCTCTGGAATGGGGAGGACTCTCTTATGATGGTACCTCGTGGCTTCTGATGTGGTTCGCCAGTCACTCTTTCTCCTGACCCGCCATAGGTGTTCAGAGGAGGAGGAGGAGAAGGAGGAGGAGGAGGAAGAAAAGGAGGAGGAGGAGAAGGAGGAATTGGAGGAGGAGGAGGAGGAGGAGGAGGAGGAGGAGGAGAAGGAGAAAAGAAAGGAGGAGGAAGAGGAGGAGGAGGAGGAGGAGGAGGGGGAGGAGGAGGAGGAGGACGAGGAGGAGGAGGAGGAAACATAACAATAATAATACAACTAATTATAACACGGATGATGGCAATAATAATAATAAGAATAAGAATAATACGAAGACGAAGAAGACTAATAATATGATTAATACTAATACGAATAAGAATGTTAATACTAGTAAGAATAGTTACAACACGAATCATACTATTAATCAAGATGATAATAATAATCATACTACTAATAATGATGATAATAATAAGAATAATAATCATAATAATAATAAGAAGAATACCAATAGTACTACTACTAGGAATATTAATAATCATAATGAGAATACGAAGACGAATGCGAATGATAATAATAATGCTATTAAGAATACTAAGAATACTTATATTATGAATAATAATATTACTAATAAGACTAAGAATACTTGTAACAGGAGTACTAAGAATACTTACAATTTGAATAATAATAAGAATATAATATAATAATACTAAGAATACTAAGACTACTTATTACATGAATACTAAGAATACTCATAATATGAATAAGGCTCATAATAATATTAATAATAATAATAATACTCATAAGAATAAGAAAAATAATACGAACAACAATAATAATGATACTACTAATCATAATAAGAATAATAAGAATATTACGAATACTAATACGAATAATAATGATAATGGTAATACTATTAAGAATAATACTACTAAGAATATCATTACTAATAAGCAGAATAATAAATACATATTAATAATAATAATAATACTAATAATAATAGAAATACTAATACTAGTAGTAAGAGGAGGAGGAGGAGGAGGGAGGAGGAGGAGGACGTAGAATTCGGAACTCAGATAGCCTCGAAAGTCCGCCAGGGGCGGCACTGCCAGGGGTGTGCAGGACGCGAAACCGCATGCAGACCAGGAGGACGTAAAGGTGGGAGGATCATCCCCTGACCCACTAGATTTACCAGCGCGGAGTCCGGTGGCCCGAGGACTCGAGGATTCCGTGCCTTGCTCGGGGCAGGAATGCCTCGTTTTCGCTCCCTCCGTGCCGCCAGGACCAAGACCAAGAACATGAACTCCCGGCAAAAGTCGAGACGACACGCCCAACCCGCGCCGACACCGACACCAAGGAATACCCAGGACTTTTTCCTCCCCCCCACACCGACACACACACAAGCATACCGAGCAACACGCCGGCATCGACCCTCAGGACCTTCCTCCCCCGTCCCCCCCTTCAGAACGTGTCATACATGTGGCTCGCGCTGCACGTTGTCCAGACACGCCACCCTGGTCTTAGATAGGCCTGGACCGTGTTCGCAGAGGTGGTCGTATCGTAACGTGTCGTATCGTGTCTTGCCCGTGCCGCGGGGATCAGCGGTACCGCGGGCACCAGTTTGATGGTCAGGTATCTTCACCAATGGGTCTCGTAGGCTATTTTTTGCTTGGCAGCTGCTGGTTTTCCCACAGCAGTGTTCGCCGATAACCAACTGAAGACCCCCTGCCCTTCTGCAGGCAGGATCCCATCGTTTTCTTATTGGGCGTCCTGGATAACAGGTTTTCGCAGGCATTCTTTTTTGCCCGACCTGCGAGTCATCAGCTTCCCTCACTTTTTTCCAATGGGGGGAATGTACGCCCCTCGGCCCATCATCCCTGGGCTATCGAAAGCTGTTCCAGGAATCGAAGGGCATTCGGCCCATCCTTCCACCGTGCTTAGGTTGTGGGTTAGAGTTATCGGGGATGCTTCTTGGGGTCTCTTCGGAACGCTTTCGGAGGACTTTTTGAAACAGTTTTGGGGCCTCTCATAACCCGTGTGTGGGCTTTTGGGGGGGCTCTTGGGGGCCTTTCGGGGGCATCTCGAAGCCTCCTGAGGACGTTTTGTGGCGGTGAGCTGGAAAGGTCGGTTCGTGTCCTCCCTCGGAGGCTCGTCTTGAAGAGTTTTTGGCATCCCCGTGGGCCATTTTGGAAGCCTTTGGGCCCGTCCTGGGGGCATGTTAGGCCCTCTCGGCGCTCTTAGGGGGCCTCGCGGGTCATCATAGGGTGATATTTGGGGGCTCTTGGGCTTTTTTCGGAGCGTCGGACATCCGACAACGCGACAACGCCCAAATTGGCCGGAACTTACGGAAAATCAATGAATGTTGCGTCCTGGGGCCCTCTTTGGAGTGTTTTTCGATGGTTTTGGGGCCTCGGGGGGCTTCATCTTAGGCGTCTGAGAGCCATCTGTCGATCTACATTCGACAAACTAGTAACATATAGGACCGTTTTCGCGCTGTCGAATACATTTTGGCCAAGATCTTGAGACACACATTGAGTTCAGAGTTCTGCCGGTTCGCGCACGCGGTTGCGATCAGTGGTTTCGCTTTTCGCCGCCCAGATGTTTGAATTCGGCTCGGTATTCGAACTATGTATTGCAGAACTAGTCTTATTCTGCAACTGCTCTGCTGCGTTGGGCGGTCCTTCTGCTAAATTTCGATATGTAGAGCCGCCACAGAACCCTCGAGCGCAGGAAACGATTCACCAGCGTCGACAGCACTAGTCGTAAGCCTCGAGAGACTTGATATCGGTATACTACCCAAGCTATACTCGCAACAAGCAATATATCTTTGCAGCCATTTGTCGCAGTCGAGTATGTTTGACCAAGGCTTCGATATTCAGAATGAGTTCAGCACTTAGCTTGTGCGTGCACGTGGGTACGACCAGTAGCTTCGCCCGTCGCCTTCCAGAGATCTGGCTTCGGTGTGCTATCCGAGCTATGATCAAACAGCTCGCCTTACTCCGCAGCTGCTCTGCTGCGTTGCGCGGCTCTTCTGCTAAATTTCGAGATCGAGAGCCGCTACAAAGCTCTCGAGTGCAGTAACTGATTCAGCAGCGTTGAACTCACTAGTCGGAAACCTTGCGTGAACTGGTATCGATATATTAGTCGAGCTATCTTCGAACAGAAACTAGTATCACTCTGCAGCCGCTCTTGTTCGATCGAATAGTTTTACTGATTTCGATGTCGAGATTCAGAGTGGGTTTAGAACTCTGCCTGTTCGTGCACGTGGGCACGCCGAGTAGTTTCGCCTTTTTCGTCTCCCCGAGACTCTTATTCGGTTTGTTATCCGAGCTATAGCCGAACCACTAGTTTCACCCTGCAACTTCTCTGCAACGTTGCGCGGTCCTTCTGTTAAAATTCGAGATGTAGAGCCGCTGCAGAGCTCTCCCTTGAGACCTGGCCAGTGTTCACGATGGCCATGATAAGTGATTGGGAGCTCCGTATACGATGTCCCCGACGGTGACCAGTTTGACGGTTTACCATCACTGCCCAGTGCGGGATCACTTTTGGGCCAATCTCGACAGAAGAATGCATGATGCTTGGCTTCGCTGGATCCACAACTCAATGTGTGCAGGATTAGTATCGAGAGCGTTGTATGCTTGGTAAATCTTCGAAACATTGAAATGGGTGAGCATAAGGAGTCCGGCGTTTTTTTTTGTTTTTTTGTTTTTTTTGTTTTTGAAATTCATTTGATTTTTTTTGTTTCCCATTTGTCTCTTTTTATGCAACTAGTACATATATAAATGTACTTGTTATTCTAAAGTGTTTGGTGATATGTGTTCGCAAATGCGAATGTTGGATGCGGTTATCGCCCTTGCAAATTGTTTGTCGGGCTGCAGCGGAGGGCCCCCCCGCGGCCCCGAACGTAGTCAGCGCCTGTCTCAGCGTTCTCCGCAAGAGAGGGTCAGCGACGAGATCTGCCAGCGACTGCAGCTTCTTGTGGCCCCAGCGAAACGGCAGACCTCTCGGGAAGTTCGCGACGGTTCGCGTCTCCGCTGGGGCCGCGGTTGACGGCGTTTTGCCTTGCAGCCCGGGACACGTGGCGAAGGCTTCCTCCGCCGCGCTCGCGCGGCTGACGACGGGGGCGTTCTCGGGGGCCGGCCGGTGCCCCGGTGCCGCGCCTGGTGGAATGCAGGCGGCAGTTGGAAGAGGTCGTTGGCCGCGCGATGCTGGCGTTCCGCGCGGAGACCGAAATCTCTGCGTCTCTCGCGCGCTCGCGCGAGGGCGATCCTTCGCGGTTGCCGTGGCGGGAGTCGTCTTGCACGCCCGCGATGTTCGCGCATGGTCTCGCGCGTCGCGCGGGGCCGAGCTGGCC